TCGCCCGGGAGCCCGGCCAGGTGGTCCCCACGCCTCCCTGGTCCGTCCCAGTCAAAGGTCCTGATTCATGGGGGGATTCTGTGGGACTGGAAACTGCTGGCTGAGGGACGGGGGAGGATCTCACTCCACTGTCTGAGGTCTGGCTGCTGACGGCTTTGAAGGCTCCCCTCTCCCTCCTCCTTGGGCCCCACACCGGGCGGGGCTCCCTTTAGTGCCTGTGAAAGATTCCAAGTACAGAAGCCCCTGGCATCCCGGGGACCCCCCGCCCCGGCCCCGGCCCCAGCCCCACCCCAACTGCGACAAACCCCGGCCTTTGGACCAGCTCCGGCGGGGAGGGGGGGCTCCTGCTCCCTGGAAACCTCAGTGGTGTAAGGGATGAGACGTCCTCACCCTCCTGGTGTGCAGGTGGCATCTTCAGTGTTGACATGTGAACGAACATTGGACAGGGGTCTCTCCTGTCCTTGCAGAGTGACTGTCACCGGGACGCCCTGTCTCCCGCTGAGCAACAGCTGGTGCATCCCAGACCTGAACCGCGAGTGGAGACGGCGCCTCTGTGCCACCGCAGGGCTCCCCCCGCTGCCTCGGCCGCCCAGGCCCTCCTGGGAGGGATCCAAACCACTGACCAGAAATAACTCCTCAAAACCGGAACCCGGGTCCGGGGGTCACACACAGCCGAAGGGACGGTCTGGGTGCGGGAAGGACGGATGCCGCAGAGCCCGGCTGTGAGGGCATCATCTGGGCTCGGAGCTCAGCCGCCCTGTCCCCTGACCCCCTGCAACTCCGCATGTCAGGCGGGTAGTCTGGTTTTATCCCCAGAGCCCCGTCCCGGAGAAAACCAAGGACACAGCTGGGTATGAGGAGCAGGGCTCCTGGTTCAGAATGAGCTTAGACAAAAGAAGGTGTATTGGCTGGGTTTGGCTTTCCATCTGTTTATTTGCTTTTGTCTCTGGTGTAAATGTCATGAGGAGGCTGAAAACTGAGAATTAATTAGGAATGGGCCTAAGTTACTAGTGTCTGAAACCAAGCTGAAGCTGAAGGGGAAGTCCAGGGTGGACCCAATGCTAAGTGGCTTGGAGGCTTCAGGAATGGCTGGATCCAGGAGCTTATGTGACATTATCAGATCTCTCTTTCTGTCTCTCCTCTCGCCCTGTCTCCCCCTCTGCCCACCGCCATCAGTACCCATGAACCTGCTTCTCTTTGAGTCAGGCCAGGTCCCTGGACCCTCCTGACCCACAGTCATGAGGAAGACGCTCTTCCCCACAGCCAACTTCATGCAGACTCCCCAGTTGGCCCTGCTGGGTCTGTGTGCCCGCTCCTCTTGCAGACTCCCCAGTTGGCCCTGCTGTGGGCAGGAAGATGAGGCACCTTCCCTGACCAGCCATGGACCAAGTGGTGGCCCCTGGGGCCAGGAGGCGAGGGGGTCCTGTGATGACGGCGTGGGTGCAGCGCAGCTGCCCTCATGAAAAAAAAGAAGACTTCAGGCAAAGATCTAAGTAAGAGACTCCAGAGTCTACAGTACCCCAGTGCCTGGGTGGGGGGGATTCAAGGAACACACAGCGTAGAGTTCGACTCAGCAAGAAGGGGCGGACAGCTCAGAGGGGCGGACGGCTCAGAGTGACGGACCCTCACACCCACCGCCTGCCTCCCACCACCCGATGCCCACGACAGCTGGACAGGCTGGGCCGGGGGAGGTCAACGTCTCGGACGATGGTGCTAGGCCACCTGATTAACCCTCAAGTCCGCCGTAGTCTGCTGCGTGGAAAGGTTAGTCAGTACTGGGCTTTTGCGAGGATTTCACAAGTTGGTTCCTGATTAGAATCTGGCCCCGACCACAGGCCTGATGAGGCTTTGCCCGGCAGGCCTCAGGGAAGCTGCCCTCCCTGCGCCAGGCTTATGCAGCCAGCACATCACAGCGTCTGCAGGGAGCCGCAGTCCCGGGCCCAGCAGCCACCCCAGCCCCAGCCGGCCAGGCTCCCGCTCACCTCCAGAGTCCTAGGCCAGGCACCAACATCCAGAGGCCTCCTTAGCGGGGTGGGGGTGGCAGCTGAGCCACTTTCCTCCCCTCATACCCTTCCTGCCCCTGGCCCCAGAACGTGTGTTTTTAGAAGCAGTGTCTTGCTGTGTTGCCCAGGCTGACCTGAAACTCGTGGCCTCCAGTGACCCTCCCGCCTGGCTTCTCCAAGTGCTGGGACTGCAGACGTGAGCCGCCACTGTGCCCGGCTCTGCCAGGAGCCTCTAGTTGGGGGCTCCTCCTCTTGAGGCAACCCCCATATCTGCACTGTACCTGGTCAACCCTCACCCGTCCCCTCCGTGGGAGGAACGGGAACGGGACACGGGAGCCGGTGCCTCCCTCTGCCTCTGGTCTGTGGCTACAGTGGTGAGTAAAGGCTTAACGGCCGCGGTCGGTCTGGCTGGTCCTCCTCACTGCCCTCCCGGACACCTCGTGGCTCAGCAGAGTGTAAGAGCCTCCGTAAGCCCCAGCGCAGGACGCACTCTCCAGGTAGCCCTGGTCCCAGGCCTGAGCCAGTCCTCTCACACCAAGCTCAGGCCAGCTCCCAGGAGGCACCACTGCCCTCCACCCTGGAACAAGAAACTGCAGCCACCATGAGACTCCAGCTCCCTGTCCGCAGCCCGTCGGCCATCTGGTCCCTTCCTTCCAATTTTGTCCAGCATTGCCCCAGCCCGGTCCTCCCGGGCCCTGCTTGTACCCATCCCCGCGGTGCCGAGGAGACACCTGCCCAAAGCCGACCTCAGCCCTCTCACGGTGGCCCCCACTGCCCGTTTAGAGAGAGAGTGAGTTCTTCAGAGGAAAAGGAGAAGACGTCTGAGGCAGCCTCTGCAGGGCGAGTGTTCTGCGGGGCAGGTGTGGGGAAGCTGGGAGTGGTCCCAGCCCTCGTGGGAGGTCTGTGGCAGCCCTGGCTCTGGAGTCATCAGCCCTCCCTCCTGGGAACCAACAGCTGTCTGTGAACTCTGACCTGGCAATTCAGATGTGGCTGTGGGGACCGCGTGTTTGGAATAGGTGTCTCCATCGCTCCGTTAACTGGAGACGCAGTGGGGACAGTCACTGAGACCCCAGGGGAAGGGACACCTCACAGGAACCAGAGCAGAGAAAACACAGGCCTGTCTGAATCCGCTTCTAGCATCTCAGTAATTTCAGAACATCAAGCAGAGCTCAGCCATCAGAGGCAACAACTGAGGTTGGAGGTCCTGCTTCACCCCGAGAGGTTTCCCCGGCCCCGTGAACCGTTGTTCTGAAGAAGTTCCCCACCTCCTTCCCCGCTCCCCACAGCCCCAAGTCGTGAGCAGCTTCCCCCGGGTGAGAGACACCCCTCGGCCCCAATTCACCCTTTAACGACGGTTTCCTCTGCACAAGGCACAAAACGGGCTGCTCAGCGGCTATTGATTTGTTTTCTGTGGAATTTGTTGAAGAATCATGTAAAATGGACACTTACAAGGGAAAGTAAATTTAAACCTTCAAAAGAAAAGTAAACACCTACCTGGTTGGGGTTGAGGAGGCCCTGCGTTCTCTCCAGGTGTTGGCTGTGTTAGTCAGAGTTCTCCAGAGGGACAGAGCCAGGGGGTCGTGTGCAGAGAGAGGATGATTGTTAGAGATTGGCTCCCATGGTTAGGAAGCTGAGAGCGCACCATCTGCAGCTGGCGAGCTGGACACCTGGGAGAGCCGGACACCCGGGAGAGCCGGACACGCAGGAGAGCTGGAAAACCTTAGGGAGCCGGACACCTTAGGGAGCCGGACACCCGGGAGAGCCGGACACCTTAGGGAGCCGGACACCCGGGAGAGCCAGACACCTGGGAGAGCCGGACACCTTAGGGAGCCGGACGCCTTAGGGAGCCGGACGCCTTAGGGAGCCGGACACCTTAGGGAGCTGGACACCCGGGAGAGCCAGACACCCAGGAGAGCCAGACACCTTAGGGAGCCGGACACCCGGGAGAGCCGCACACCTTAGGGAGCCGGACACCCGGGAGAGCTGGACACCTTAGGGAGCCGGACACCTTAGGGAGCCGGACACCTTAGGGAGCCGGACACCCGGGAGAGCTGGACACCCAGGAGAGCCGGACACCTTAGGGAGCCGGACACCCGGGAGAGCCGGACACCCAGGAGAGCCGGACACCTTAGGGAGCCGGACACCCGGGAGAGCCGGAAACCTTAGGGAGCCGGACACCCGGGAGAGCCGGAAACCTTAGGGAGACGGACACCTTAGGGAGCCGGACAGCCGGGAGAGCCGGAAACCTTAGGGAGCCGGACACCTTAGGGAGCCGGACACCCGGGAGAGCCAGACACCCGGGAGAGCCGGACACCTTAGGGAGCCGGACACCTTAGGGAGCCGGACATCCAGGAGAGCTGGACACCCAGGAGACCCGGACACCTTAGGGAGCCGAACACCCAGGAGAGCCGGACACCCGGGAGAGCCGGAAACCTTAGGGAGCCGGACACCCGGGAGAACCGGACACCTTAGGGAGCCGGACACCCAGGAGAGCCGGACACCCAGGAGAGCCGGATCCAGGAGAGCCGACACCCAGAGAGAGCCTGAAACCTTGGGAAATGGACAGCCGAGAGCCGGACACCCATATGGTTTGGAAACCCTTGCTCTGACACCTTAGGGAGCTGACACCCAGGAGAGCGACACTCCAGAAGAGCCGGAAACTTTGGGAGCCGGACAGCCGAGAGCCGACACCCAGGAGAGCCAGAAACTCAGGGAGCCGGACACCTTAGGGAGCCAGACACTCCAGGAGAGCCGACACCTTAGGAGCCGGACACCCGGGAGAGTCAAGACACCTTAGGGAGCCGGACACCCGGGGAGAGCTGGACACCTTAGGGAGCCGGACACCCAGAGAGCCGGACACCCGGGAGAGAGCTGGACACCTTAGGGAGCCGGACACCCGAGAGCCGGAAACCTTAGGAGCCGACACCTTAGGGAGCCGGACAGGAGAGCCGGACACCTTAGGAGCCGACACCCAGGAGCGACCTAGGAGCCGGACACCCAGGAGAGCCGGAAAACCTTAGGAGCCGACACCCAGGGAGCTGGACACCTGGGAGAGCCGGACACCCGGGAGAGCCGGAAACCTTAGGGAGCCGGACACCTTAGGGAGCCGGACACCCAGGAGAGCCGGACACCCGGGAGAGCCGGACACCCGGGTGAGCCGGACACCCAGTAGAGCCGGAAACCTTAGGGAGCCGGACACCTTAGGGAGCCGGACACCTGGGAGAGCCGAACACCCGGGAGAGCCGGACACCCAGGAGAGCCGGAAACCTTAGGGAGCTGGACACCCGGGAGAGCCGGACGCCCGGGAGCCGGACACCCGGGAGAGCTGGACACCTGGGAGAGCCAGCGCTGCCAGCTCCAGGCCTGGTCCGAATCTGAAGGTAGGACAAGCCCACGTCCAGGGAGAAGGCTCCACACCTCCAACAAGTCCCTGCACTGGGGGAGGAACCGCTGCATTACTCACCCATGAACTCAAGTGTCCTCCTCACAGCCCAGCCACGGTGACACCTCAGTTCCGCATCACATCAGCAAGTGCACGGCCTCCAGGTGGCTATGTGCCCTGCGTACTCATCACGCTTGGCCCAGCGGAGCCTGAGTGGCTTCACCTGACCTTGTCTACTGGGCCAACTTACCCGCCAGGTCCCCAAAGCCAGGGTCTGTGGCGCCCCCTCTCCCATCCTGCTCCAGACAGCCAGGGGCTTCTCCGCGGTTGAGGGCAGGGAGCGTGGTCTTTGACAAACCCACAGGCTGCTCCCAGGACAGCAGGCAAAGGCAGCCGCAGCCCGGCCCCGGGGGCAGGTGTGGGTTCCGTCTACACAGAGGAGATCTCAGAATCGGGAAATACGGCCACTCTTGGCACCCAACTTCTTTTTGAAATATTGAAATATTGTTCTTTTCACAAAAATGTGTTGTGCTCAAATGCTATAGGTTTAGTTTTGTTATATGGAAATGAATGAATACTGTCTGACTTCTCAGTTTTAATTTCAATAGTGTAGATATCAGTAGACCTAAGCCACATAAACAGAAGATTGCTGGGGTCCTCAGTAATTTTGTTTTTTTGAGACAGAGTCTCACTCTGTCACCCAGCCTGGACTGCAGCGGCACAACCTCAGCTCACTGCAGCTTCAGCCTCCCTGGATTCAGGTGATCCTCCCACCTCAGCCTCCCAAGTCACTGGGACCATGCCTGCCTAATTTTTGCATTTCCTGTAGAGATGGGGTCTCACTTCATTGCCCAGACTGGTCTTGAGCTCCTGGGCTCCATTGATCCACCAGCCTCATCCTCCCAAAGTGCTGGGATTACAGGCATGAACCATCACACCCAGCAAGTAATTTTTTTTTATTTTTTTATTTTTTGAGATGGAGTCTTGCTCTGTCGCCCAAGCTGGAGTGCAGTGGCGTGATTTCGGCTCAGTGCAACCTCCACCTCCCCGGTTCAAACGATTCTCAGTTCTCCGCCTCCTGAATAACTGAGATGACAGGTGTGCACCACCATGCCTGGCTAATTTTTTGTATTTTTAGGAGAGACGCCTGTAATGCCACTGTAATCCCAGCACTTTGGGAGGCCAAAGGAGGAGGATCACTTGAGCCCAGGAGTTCAAGACCAGCCTGGGCAACATGGCTAGACCCCATCTCCACAAAAAATTTTTAAAATTAGCCAGGCATGGTGGTGCAGGCCTGTGGTCCTACCTACTGAGGAGGCTGAGGTGGGAGGATCACTTGAGCCCAGGAGTTGGAGCTTGCAGTGAGCCGTGATCACACCGCTGCACTCCAGCCTGGGCAACAGAGCAAGACTCCATCTCAAATAAAAAATAAATAAATAAACAAATAAATACAATGTACCATCTTAGCCACTTTTAAGCGTGTGCTTCTGTGGTGTTAAGTACACCCACATCCCTCTGCAGCCATCACCACATTCATCTCAAGCACCTGTCATCTGCCCAGACTGAGACTCTGTCCCCATTAAACAGTGACTTGTAATTTCCCTTCCCCACAAATTCTACTTTCTCTCTATTTGGTGACTCGAGGCTCCTCGCACAGTAGCAGGATGAGCCGCAGACAAAACTCCTTAGACACCGGATTAAAGCAGGAAGTGGTTTTTATTCGGCCGGGAGCGTCGGCAGACTCGCGTCTTAAGAGCCGAGTTTCCAGAAAAAGAAATTCTTGGCCTTTTTAAAGGCTTACAACTCTAAGGGGTCCACGTGAAAGGGTCGTGATAGATCGAGCAAGCGTGAGAAACGTGACTGGGGGCCACATGGATCAGCTAACAGAACAAAAAGTTTTACAATGCTTTTTTCATACAGTGCCTGAAATTTACAGATAACACAAGTCATTTAGGTCAGGGGTTGATGTTATTATTGTTACTTTTTTAACTCCTAGGGCCGGGTGGTGGTGCCAAGGTTGTCTGGCTATTTATCTTACTTTTGTTTTTTTTCCAACTTTTTGCTTTCTCTCTTTCCTCCTGTCTTGTGAACTAGGCAAGGTGGGGGGAGGAGGGCAGCGGGAGTAGTAGTGGTCTCCTTCCTTAACATGAGCGGAATTATGCAGCATTTCTCTTTCGTGTCCAGTTTGTTTCACTCAGTAAACTTTTAAGGTTCATCTGTGTCATAACATGTATCAGAATTTTCTTCCTTTTTTTTTTTTTTTTTTTTTTGAGATGAGGGCTCACTCTCTTACCAAGGCTGGGGTGCAGCGGCACAATCATGCCTCACGGCAACCTCCCCGCTCCCAGCTCCGGGTTCAACCAATTCTCATACCTCAGCCTCCCAAGTAGCTGGGACTACAGGTGTGCACCACCACGCCCGCCTTATTTTTTGTGTTTTTGGTAGAGACAGGATTTCGCCACATTGCCCAAGCCGATTTTCTTCCTTTTCAAGGTTGAATAATATCCCACAGGATGCGCAGACCACTTTTTGTTTACCCATTCATGCACTGACGGACGCTGGCATTGCTTCCACCTTTTAGCTGTTGTAAATAATGCTGCTGTGAACATAAATGTATAAATATCTGTTCAAGTCTTGCTTTCCGTTATTTTGAGTGTATACTTGGAAATGGAATTTCTGGATTACACGGTCATTCAGTTTGATTTTTTGGGAAGCCAGCGTACCGTTTTTCCATAGCTGCTGCAACGTTTTACAGCCCCACCAACAGTGCACAGAGTTCCAATTTCCCTCTGTCCTCGTCAACACTTGTTATTTTCTCTGGCTTCCGTAAGAGCCATCCTGATGGGCATGGGGTGGGGTCTCACCATGGTTTTCGCTTGCATTTCCCTAGTAATTAGTGATGTGGGGCGTCTCTTCATGTGCGTCTTGGACACTTGTGTATCTTGTTTGAAGAAATGGCTACTCAACTTCTTTGCCCACGTTTTTTATTGTGTTGTTTGGTTTTTGTTGTCGTTGAGTTGCAGAAGTTCTTCACACATTCAAGATATTAATCCCTTATCATGTATATTATTTGCAAATATTTTCTCCCATTCCACGTGTTGCCTTTTCACCTTTTTGATAGTGTCCTTCAAAGCACAAATGTTTTTAATTTGAGGCTGGGCGTGGTGGCTCACGCCTGTAATCCCAACATTTTGGGAGGCTGAGGTGGGCGGATCACCTGAGGTCAGGAGTTTGAGACCAGCCTGACCAACACAGTGAAATCCTGTCTCTACTAAAAATATGAAAACTAGCCGGGCGTGGTGGTGGGCGCCTGTAATCCCAGTTACTCAGGAGGCTGAGGCAGGAGAATAGCTTGAATCTGGGAGGCAGAGGTTGCAGTGAGCCAAGATTGCACCAGTGCACTCCAGCTTGGGTGACAGAGCAATACTCTGCCAAAAAAAAAAAAAAAGAGAGAGAGAGAGAAAGAAAGGAGAAAGAAAAGACAGGAAAGAAAGAAAGAAAGAAAAGACAGGAAAGAAAGAAAAGACAAGAAAGAAAGAAAGAAAGAAAGAAAGAAAGAAAGAAAGAAAGAAAGAAAGAAAGAAAGAGAAAAGAAAGAAAGAAAGAAAGAAAGAAAGAGAAAGAAAAGAAAGAAAGAAAGAAAGAAAGAAAGAAAGAGAAAGAGAAAGAAAGAAAAGAGAAAGAAAGAAAGAGAGAAAGGAAGGAAGGAAGGAAGAAAGAAAGAAAGTTTTTAATTTTGATAAGGTCTGATTTACCTATCTTTTGTTGCCTGTGCATTTGTGTCATATTCAAGAAATCCTTGCCAAAATCAGTATCACGACACTTCCCTTATGTTTTCTTCTGAGAGTTTTAGCTTTTACAGGTAACTCTGATAAATTTTGAGTTACTTTTCGTGTCTGGTGCTAGGTAAAAATCATACTTTATTCTTTTACATGGGGATATCTAGTTTTCTCAGCAGCATTTGTTGAATGGACTGTTCTTTCCCCATTGAATGGTCTTGGCACCCTTGTCAAAAATCATTTGTACATCTGAAGGCTTATTTCTGGGCTGTATCCTGTTCCCTTGGTCCACATGTCTGTGTTTATGCTGGTACCACACTGTTTTGATGACTGTGGCTTTGTAGTAAATTTTGAAATTAGAAAGTGTGAGTTCTCTTACTTTGGTCTTTTTTTTTTTTTTTTTTTTTTTTTTTCAGACAGTTTTGGCTAGTCAGGGTCCCTTTTTTTTTTTTTTTTTTTTTTTTTTTGGTTTTTTTTTTTTTGGGAAAAAAAAAAAAAAAAAGTCGTTGGAATTTTGAGAGGAATTGCATTGAATCTGCAAATCGCTTTGGACAAGATGGCTGTCTTCACTATAAAAAGTCTTCTAATTCATAAACATGGGGTGTCTTTCCATGTATTTATGTCTTTTTATTTTTTCAGCAATGTTTTGTACTTTTCAGCGTACAAGTCTTTCACTTCCTTAGTTAATTCCTAAATATTTTATTCCTTGGAGTGATATTATGAATGGAATTTTTAAATTCCTTTTTTGGATAGCTCATGGTTAGTATATGCAAATGCAATTGACTTTTGTGCATTGATTTGGTATCCTGCAACTTTGCTGAACTCACCTATTAGTTCTGTTAGTTCTCACAGGTTTGGGGTGGAATCTTTAGGATTTTCTACATATTGCATCACGTTGTCTGTGAACAGAGGTAATTTTACATCTTCCTGTCCATGCTGGATGCCTTTTGTCTGTTTCGTCCGACTGCGCTGGCTGGAACTTCCAGTGCTGTGTTGAATGGCAGTGAAGAGCGTGGGCATCTTTGTCTTGTTCCTGGTCCCAGAGGAGAGGTTTTCTGCCTCTCACCATTGAGTACAACGCTCACTGTGCGTTCTTCCTACATGGCCATTGTTATGTTGAGGTCCTTTCATTGTAGCCTGGTTTTTTGCATGTTTTTATCACGAAAGGGTGTTGAGTTTGTTCAAAGGCTCTTTCTGCATCGATTAAGGTCACGCGATT